TTGCCTTGCCTTGTTTACAGTATCCTTTCGGATGTTTATAGCATAAAGTTTTCCTTTCACTGTCTTGAGCTGGAGATGTTTCTTTAGTTTATAAAATTTAAAAAGGTCATACCACAATTTATGAAATAATGATTTTACTTATTGTATAAAGATGGTATAATTTCTGGTGGTTGCCTGCCTTCTATATGATTTTCTCTGGCTTTGTTGCGATAGACTTTGATTACATATGAATTCTTATGAGTACATTAACTAACAATGCAAACATCTTGCAGCTATTGAGAGAATTGGTAGATAGGCTGGTAGAAAATGCCCTGATACTGAGAAATGACTTCATGTCCAGTCTCTGTTATTAAATTGCTGTGCTGCCTTAGAAAACTCCCTGTTGCTGAACCTCAGTTTTCTGAAATGCAGATGAGGTTTTGGAAGACATGATAGCTAAGTTTAACTCCAATCTTCATAGTACACTGTTCTTGGAGCATAATTTTAGGCACAGGCCTTTTCTTGAGATATTTTAGCAGTACTATCTCCATTTTATGACCCTCTGTTATGGCATGATAGTCTGATTGCATAGACCGAATAACACTGTCCCCAGATTTAATTACCTTGGGGCATTACCACTGCATAGGCTTAAATGAGTCATTTTGTTCGCTGCATCTACAGCTTTTGCTGAAATGGAAGTTATAGGATAACAACTTAAAGGCTAACTCATTAATGCTTGAAATGAATGAGGTAATGTGTCAGCAGAAAAAACTGACAGCCAGCTGTGTTTAGCTAGAGTCCCATATCTCTTTCCCAGGTTGTGTTTTCTTTACCCATTGTCACCACCTATATACATTTGAATAATGTTGATGCAATACCTTCTGGGCACCTGGCCCCATGCACTATCAATTTCTCAAACTCCATGGAGCTTTCAGTGTCTTGGAGCAAAATTCTAATGATTCCACAAGGTGCTTAATTAATAGATTTCAACCACATCATCAGTGTGGCCCTTGTCTTTTTTTTCCATCCATGTTTGCTAGTGAGACCTAGATCAACCTTAACTATTTGATGGCAGCATCAGAATTAATTAGGCCCTCACATTGTGAGGCTGTGAGTTAATGGTTCCCTGAGAACATTTCTGTCCTCTCCATGTTGATGTGGTTGACCTTTCCAAAGTTAATTTGTTTCCCCATCTGTGCCATGCATTTCAGGAGGACATGGTGAACAAGCTTGATGCCACCCAAGGATGTTCACCCCCTTTGCCCTGCTCAATACTTGATTTGTCCTTTTGACCTTTGTTCAGATTCTCCTGCTTGGTACCTGCTAATTTTTGAACTCCTTTCCTGACCTAAGTGATACTATATGTTCTTTCGCTGGCCAAACTGGATGGTTTGAAAGAGAAATACATTTAGGAGCACATCTGCATTTTACTGATCTGAATAACAGCATTTGAAATATTTAATTATGCAGTTAGTTTTTCTGACTCTTGTAAGATGATTAAAGGTGCTTGAAATTGAAGAGTGAAGAAGACAGAGCTTTTTCTAATATAGACCTCCAGATCTCTTCATCTGTACTAATTTAATTCAAACTTAGAAATTGAACAGGAGATACTAATCAATGCATAGATGCAAATTTCTATTTTATGCCATCATTCTTGCAGCCTGACAGGTTCAGACAGATTTGGGCCCCCTGCAAAGAATCTTTGATATTACATGCTTATTTAAAAAAGTGCTGCTTATTACATATACAGTATTCACGTACTATGAAACTGTGGAAATAGAAGCTACGTTATTTCTGCCTTTTACCGAGCATGGTCACCAAGACTCAGAATTCAACTGGTTTTCCTATGCTTATATAGCTAAGAAATATAAAAGCTTTGTTTTGGCTCTTACTTTATTGCCAACTGCATGTATTCATATAAAGAAAATAGTTTTGCAAATATCTTGGATTCTAGACCAAAATTCAGCTGGTTTGCTTTCACCTTCTTCCTTGGGTACTTTTTGATATCATAGTCCTTTCACACTAGAGCTATGACATGCTGAAGTGGGGAAGGGAAGACACTGAAGCAAGAGAGATCTCTTGGTACTTTGTTCCCTGTGGTGAGCCTTCTTTTGTGTTCAGCTTGGAAAGTCAGTCCTGGGGACAAATAGAACTTATTGTGTGTCTATCCCTTAGTGCTAAAACATGTTTATCCCTTCCGTGTACTCCTTATTTGCTCTTCCTTGGCTATGCTAGCCTTCCTAGCTCTGCTATATCTGAGAGGTTTAAGGGTTTGCGAGAGGCAGTCAATTTTCTTGCAGTACTGCAGCCTATGACTGTTGTTAAGTTCAGCCTTGTATGTTCAAGCAGGGAGGCAATGACAAATGGTTTATTGTAAGGCCTTTGATTTCCCTCGGAATTGCAAGCATCTAGGCTGACTCATGTCTTAAAGATTTCTCACTCTCTCCTCTTTCTCTCATTTTTGGGCTGATGAGGATTTGTGATTTCACTGTTTGTTTTTACCTTTGTTTTTGAGGAGGGGAGAGATTTATTTCCATCCTGTATTTTTTTTTGGGGGGGGAGAAGCAGTTCTGCTTTTGGGGTGAACAGCTCTGGTAAGCTACAAGAAGAAACAGCTGAAATTGCAAGACAGGTACAAAAATGTTTGGATTGGGATAAGGGAGGTAGACTGTGATGTTAGAAATTTTAAGCCAAAGCTAGACTATGTGCCAAGATGAGACTGAGATGGCAGTTGATGGATTTTAGACTTGCTATTGTAACCAGGGCTTGCTAGAAGTTTAGTGTGGAACTACACTTAAATCCATATACCTTTGGTTAAAATGGTCTCTTTGTGGTTGTCATTTGGTAGTCAGGCTTTGGTATTCACTTTGGGTTCAGGGTATGTGCTTTTCAATTGAAGGAACTTTAGAATCTATGGGCTTTCATCTTGGCTTCATCTAAAAGCCACAGAAAAAGCCTTCATTTTTTTCTCGTGCTGTACCTCATTTATCTAGCAAGTATTTCTTGTATCTATGGCATGCCATTAAGGTGAGTGGGTAAAAGATTTTTGTTGATAAAACTCAAGAAGTATATTTTCTTTTTAAACAGTATTGTTAATTTATTTACATGTTGTATGATAAATCTTTTTTCAACCTCTTCTCTGTCACAGCCATCTTCTTGATCTGTGGATTTTAAGCCTTTCTCAGAATAACATATAGAACATATTTGTAAAACTTCCTATAAAAGTAAAGCTTAGAAAATGACATAAGATTGCTTCTTTTTGTCAAAAGGATTATTCCCCCATGTCCCAAATTACTTTCTCTTGCAGAAACTAGCATATTCACACAAACCATGAACTTAAAAGATATCCTAAACATTTCTTTTCCATTAAAATCAATTTTTCCCTAAGTCTTGTCATTTCCATGCAGGATCTCTGATATATGTCACCAGTCCCCCCCCCCCCCCTTAGCTTATCTACCTGGTTCTGGCTTTCTACTCAAAGCAGAGTTTTCATGACTCTGTGTGATTTTTCAAAGGTACAGCTATGACTCAATCACTCCCTGCCTAAAACCCTATAGCACTTAGTGCCCTATTGCCTGGAGAGAGAGAAAAAAAAAAAAGTCTGTCTCTTTAACATGGCATTATGGGGCCATGATTTATCTTCTTCCAACTTTTGTATATTGTTTTAAGTAGATAACAATCTTTCTTCTATCTCATTGCCATTGTGCAAGCTGTTTTCTCTCTCTCTCTCTCTCTCTCTCTTTCTGACTCTCTGTCTCATTCCTCCCCTGACCCTGTCTCGAGGCAGACTTGGATATTTTCTCTTTTTTGTTCTCACAGCACTTTTTGTTTTTACACTTTTGCCAGCTGACATATTACTAGGTTTTGTAAACTGTTGCTAACCTGTGCATGTCATTCACTGCAGTATTAAATCTTTTATGAAAGGAGCAGTATTATCTTGTTCATCCCTTGAATTGACTACCTGCTTTAAAGTGGACAATTAATATAGATTTCTTTTTTTTTCTTTTAATGAATTGCTGAAAGAAAATATGCATATGTGAAGTCCAGGAAGGGCTCCACTGAAGGACGTGCAACCTGTGCACAGTATCAGATAGGGCACTGAAGGAAGGCCATATAAAACACTTTTGCCATCATAGTGAGACAAACTTTACTGTGATTACTAACTCTGTAAGAGTCTCACTAGGAATGGTCTAGAGATGAAGTTTATTTGTTTTCATAAAAGTTGGCTTTTTTCTTCAAGAAATGCAATATAATAAGGTTTAATGAATGAGAAAAAGTAAAAACAAACAAAATACTGTTTGTAGCAACTTTTTATTAGAATTTGAGTGTGCTTCTTTCAGTGTTTTATGCAATCGTATTTTCTGTATTCTGTACTTGTTGAAAATTGCTTTGTAAACATTGCTGCATGACTGCATCATTTTCTATACTATTTATTACATAATCTATATAACTAATCTCATTTCTGAGCTGTTTTTTATTGGACGTTTCATTTGTATATGATGTTTTCTGTCTGTAGCAAGATTTCATTAGGATAAATTCCTAGAAGGGGAATTACTAGGTCAAAAGGCCTAGGGACAAATTTTGGCTCCAGATTTCTGTGTCCAGTCTGTCTTTTGAAAGACTTATTTAAATTTACAGTACTCCTAGCTTGGATAGATGCCTCCTTTTTACCTAACCGAGGTAGCTTAGGGCATTATCATGAAAGAAAAATTTAAAAAACCCTATCAGTGTTACAAGCAATTAATAGAAAATATTATGTCTTATTATTGTATCATAGTGGTTTTTCTAAAATAATATAAGTTTGCTTATGTTTAAAAACCTGATTTCTTTCATTTTTGTTAGTTTTTTTCTCTTTTCTGGACTGTCTATTGAGAGCTGGGTTTTTTGTTAAGTTGTATTTTTTTTCTCTTCCCCTGAATAAGCAGAAGAGAGGCAGTTCTGCTTGAGGGTGAAGCCGCCTCCCAGTTTTCCCTCCCTCTTCACTCCCCCCTCATAGTTCCCTCCACTAGGTCCAATGACAATTGGATGATGCAGCCTTGATAATCACTGGATCCCAGAATGGGTAGCTGCATTCCTTTTCTGAAGGCAGCAAGGACACGATGTCCCAGAATCATGCCCCTTTTGCTGTTGTTGTCTGGCTTCATTTATTTAGTGAGCGTCCTGGGAGGAGCCCCAGGACAGAACCCAGACCGCAGGATGGACATGGTATCCATACATAGCCTCTCCGAGCTGGAGCGCCTGAAGCTGCAAGAGACTGCTTACCAAGAACTCGTGGCCAGACATTTCCTCTCTGAATTCAAGCCGGACAGAGGTGAGTTAGACCCGATATGTGGCGTCCTTGCCTATCGGCAAGTAGACCCCCGGGCGGGATAGGGCAGATTGGAGGTCTAGGAGGGTGAGAGGAGTTCTTAGAAACAGACCAATCTCCTAGTGCCCCGGGAACGGAACAAGCAGGAGTTGAATACTGTTTGTTTAATTTCAGAAAAGGTTGAGTCGAAGCCTGGGATTTTGAGGGGACAGTAAGCTCGGTAGGACCACGGCCAGATGAAGAAAAGGGGCTCACCAGGTGTGGTGGGAGAATTGGGAAAAGAGGGACCAGCTCAAAGGGTCACTCTAAAAGAGTATTGGAGAGAGAAGAGAGTGCGAGTTTGAGAGAGATACAGTGAGAAAGCGGCAGAGAGATGCGCATCAACCAGGCAAAGAGCTGGAGGGCTGTGCGGGTTTGGGCATGGCTGCGGGGAAGTCAAGGGATCAGGACAGGACCGGGTTCCAGCGCTTCAGGAGATGTCGGGTGTGCGCACAAATTTGGTTGTCGGCTTTAAGGGAGGCAGGAGATAGTCCCACTGCTTCAGAGACATTCCCTTAAGACTGGGAAGTGCAGGGTTGGGAGCCAGGTTCCCCAGGCATTTTCCTCTGGTGCAGCCTGAACTGAGTGAAGCAAAGGGCAGGGGGACCCCTCCACTGAGGGGTTTGGAGAGGAGAGACAGCTAGGTGTCTCGGATTCTCTCACAGCAGCACAGCAAGCCTATGGCAAATCCGAGCGCACGTGAGCGCTTCTGCAGTAACTTGACCCTCAGCTGTGGTGGCGCTGCAGGCGGAGCCCCTCCCCTCGCCTGTTGCATGATCAGAACGGAGCGCATCTGAGTGTTTGAGTTTATGTTTTAAGTAGGCTGAGATATTACTGGTTTATAGCAAGATGCGCCTGGCGCATTAAACTGATTAGCTTAAATTCTTCAGAATCTTGCATGTGCTAGATAGGAGTAGTCTTGTTGTCAGGTGGGGAACCTGAGGCGGGCGAAAGCAAAACACTTTTCTTGGAGTGGACAGATAATCCCTTCCCTCTTCCCTGCCTGCATATCAATGCATTACAGATGTTTTAGTTACCTACAACTTCCTTCATATATGTGAGTGCATATGTCTTTTCTTTTTTCTTTTTTATAGCTCTACCCGTTGACCGTCCAAACACCCTGGAGAAATGGTTTCTGATTCTGAGAGGACAAGAGAGGGGTGAGGAGATCTTTTTCTTTTTCTCAGGAAAGAAATAAAATGCTAACTCCCCTCTGGTAGTGTGGCCCTGAGTAGTGGAGATGGCCAATGCCTATTGCTCCTGAAGAATCTTCCCTCTCCCTCTCAGTAACCCCCTAGAGGCATATATCAGAAAATGGAGGAATAGCTGCGGGCATTTGCGGTGGTACTCCCAAACCTGCCTTAGCTTCCCTTTGATGCACCCCAGGCAGATCAACCTGAAGAAATCTCCCTCATTGCCACAAGGTGGTCATGCACTGACAAGACATAGGCAGGGATGAGACCCTGAGTGGCATTGAGGTAGTAGAGTGAAACCAGTCATTTTTACCTAATCTACTGCAGGGTCTGGCTCCCCTGGAAGGGGCGATGCAAGCCTAGAGGGGGTGGGGTAGATTATGGACACGATTGCTAGGAAGAGTGCTGTGGATTGCTGACATTTCTTATTCTTTCCCAGCTGTATCTCTCAAGACCTTTGGCATCCGTCTAGAAGAGGTGCTGGTGAATGAGCTCACCCGCCGCAAGCACCTTGAACTGACAGCTGCGATGCAGGCTGAAGATGCCACAGGTCCCTCTGTAGGTCGTCGCCGCCAAGGAAATGTGGTGCAAAGGATGTTTGGACATATGAGGCACTTTTTCAGTCGCAGGAGGAATGAGCCCACCCTGCCCAGAGAGTTCACTCATCGTGGGCGTCGAGTGAGTTGAATCTTAGAGGTTTCAGCAAGGGACCCTTTGTGGAGAGCAGGCTAGGTCTGTGTCCTTATGGTGTGGGGACCCAACAGAAATAGAAGGAGTGGGCTTGCCATACCACAGGGAGACTGTCAGGTTTTGAATGTCATTCAGAGCTTAGGAAGGTCCCAATGGATGTACCCTCTCCTCCATTTCAAGATAGTCTGGGTTTTTCCACAGGGTGCAGTGTCTGTGGATAGCCTGGCTGACCTGGAAGATGGGGCCCTGTTGCTTCAGACCCTGCAGCTCTCACAAGTCTCATTTCCTATCGGGCAGCGACTTCTGGGATCCAAGAGGAAGATGAGCCTTAACCCAATTGCTCAACAAATTCCTCAGGTTGTTGAGACTTGCTGCAAATTCATTGAGAAACATGGTAAGGAAGCCACAAATGGTTAAATCAAGGGAGGAGGGAACTGAAGGGGAAAGGAAGGATGTTCTAGAAAGGGAGGGAAAGAGAAGCTGTGGGATGGAGGGCCTGAATAGCATTCCCCCAACACCACTGAAAGTTGGAATGCAGCTAATAAGGGAGAACAAGAGAAATGTAATTGGTGAACAGGGGTCATAGATGCTTAAGATCTCTGGTCTTTTCTTTCAGGCTTAAGCTCCATGGGGATTTTCACCATTGAATACTCAGTACAGAAAGTGCTTGAGGTAAACTGATTGTATTTACATGTTTGGTTTTTAGCTAGTAAAAAGGAAGATAGAAATAAGGGGTCTCTTATAGACATAGGGTAGTGTCATGATTGATGGGGAGGGGGACCAAGGGCTACTTTATAGACCCCTAAATACACTATATTGCCAGCTGTTGGTTTTTGAAGAACTGTTCAAACCTGGCCTATGGTGGGCAAGGCAGACATTTCACATCTTCTTTCCCTTCTTTCAGCTCCGGGAGTTATTTGACAAAGGTCTGGATATTGTGCTGGATGACAATGTGAATGTACATGACGTGGCTGCACTCCTGAAGGAGTTTTTTCATGAAATGAAGGACTCTCTGCTGCCTGATGATCTGTACATGTCCTTCCTCCTGACTGCAAGTGAGTCTTCTGTTCTCCATTATTGGGGCAAGAAAAAGAAGCAATCCAGAAATCTAGAGGGTAAAATGAGAGAGCTCAGGCTATAGAATCTTAATAATCTAGGGTAGAAACAACATCAGAATATGATACATACCTTTCCAGAATACAGTCATTATTTGTCAATTAAAAATTAAACACACACACACACACACACACACACACACACACACACACACACACACACAAATAAACCCCTTTCCAGGCTGCTTTTTTTTTTTGTGTCTCTTGCTGTTCCCTTATAAATTCTGTGCTTGGAATTTAATCTTAAACTTCTGGAAGTTTTTGGTTGTCCCTCTCAGGGCAAAGAAGAACCCTGACTCTGTAGAGATTTGATTTTGATTTTGAGGTTGAGAAGGGCACTTTCAGAGACCCTGGATCTCAGTGAGATGTATGGAAAGGAAGCAAAAGCATGTTGCCCAAGTAGTACTTTCCCCAGAGTTGCCAGCAACCATGAAGTAGAAATATGTTTTCTTTGATATCAGGCTGCTGCCAAAGCTAGCCCTCTAAGCTACCTCTATTTTTCTTCCTCTAGCTCTGAAGCCCCAGGATCAGGTTTCTGCCTTGCAGCTGCTCGTCTACCTGATGCCACCCTGCCACAGTGATACCCTTGAGCGACTTTTGCAGGCCCTGCATAAAATCACTGAAAACTGCGAAGACTCCATTGGCATTGATGGACAACTGGTAAAAATTTGGGGGGAAGGGTAGTAAAAAATAGTTGGTTGTAAAGTGGGTAAAGACAGAAAACCAACAATAAAAAGATATACATCTATTTGTACACCTTCAAGCAGTACCTCAAAGTTGATTGCACTTCTTTGCTTAGGTTCCAGGTAACCGGATGACTTCCAACAACTTAGCTTTGGTGTTTGGAACATCGCTGCTGAAGAAAGGGAAGCTGGCCAAGAGGGAATCCAGGAAGACCAGATTGGGCATAGACCACTATGTCGCATCTGTCAATGTGGTCCGTGTGATGATTGACAACTGGGATATCCTATTCCAGGTAAGATGGATTTTTTGAAAACCCTCTTTCCACACATTCCCCTTTAGTTCACAAAATAAGGGAGAGTTCTGTGTGTTCTCCTATTCTAGAAATTCCCCCATATCTGTTGGTTATAGTCCCTTCAGTCCTGAATACCTAATAAAGATGAATATAACTGAAAATGGATAATTAACTAAGGTCACTACTTTTACCTGCAGGTGCCTCATCATATTCAGAAGCAGGTTGCTAAGCGTGTGTGGAAGTCCAGCCCTGAAGCACTGGATTTTATCAGACGTCGGAATCTTAGGAAGATACAGTGAGTGTGGTTTTAATTTCTTGGCTGGTTTATGTTTAGCTTATAGGGTTTATAGTTACATATTGTATTGATATTAGCCAACTTTAGGGCAAACATATTAACTTTTTCAAATTCCTTTCCATTCAGGAGCGCTCGCATAAAGATGGAAGAGGATGCTTTACTTTCTGATCCAGTGGAAAATGCAACTGAAGCAGAGGCTGCTATCCTTGCCCAGAGCCAGCCCTTTGATGAAGGTCAGTTCCCTTCTGGAGATCAGACCCCTGTTAAAAGGTCAGGCCGTTTCAGAGAGCTAGGTCCTTGTTAAAGATAAGCCTGTTCAGGAAGGTGAATCCTCTAAGAATGATATGTCTGTAAATGAAGAGTTAGTATTTGAATATTTTAGTGAGTGAGTGGTTTGTGGGGGAAGTACCAGTTCTTGATATCCCCTGTGACCTTGGTATTCATCTTGAGGGCATACCAAAGCTTAAGGAAGAAGATGATGGTGAGGATGAGGAGAATGATGATGACACCTTAAATTTTGATGATGTACCTTTCCTAGAGGATATTCTAGAATGTGATGCTGAAATATCAGAATTCAGTGAGATCCCAAGTTTTGAAGAATAACGTTATTTTTATATGGTTCCAGATCCTGAAGAAGCTCCAGATGTGCATGATATTTTGAACCCTGGAGAAAACCTGAACTATGACTTTGAGGAAGATCCAGATTTTGAAGACCAGGACAATCTGGATCTTGCAGAGGTTCCCTATCTTGATGTAATTCCAAACAACGAAGATGTCGACTCAGATGCTGATGACATCCCAGGTAATGATGAATTCCTAGACATTAATGAAATCTCAGATAATGTAAATGCCCCAAATAATTATTAACCCCTAAGGTTCCAAGATTCAGAAGAAGTTCCCAATCTTGAAGACATCCCAGGAGCTGATGAAGTCCCAAATGGTGAATCTTCAAGTGCAGAAGAGACCCAAGGCCATGAAGAATATTCAGAAGTTAATGGAATTTCAAACTCTGAAGAATACCTTGATTTTGATGAAGTTCCAGCTCTTCATGTGTCCCAAGTCCCAAAGAAGCTCCTGTAAGACATGGTATACCAGATCATGAAGACTACCAAGAGGTTAATGGACCCTCACACGTTGATGAAGATCCAAATCATAAAGAGGTACCAGATTTTAATGGCAAGTGATGAAGAAACCTTAGATGCTGAGGAAATCACAGACTGTGAAGAAGCTCCAGAAGTCAATGTAATTATGGAGTTGGAAGAAGCCCTTAACCTTGAAGAAGTGCCAGCTCTCCATGTGGTCTCGGACCCTCAAGATATATCTCAGATTCGAAGACATTCAAGAACAGGAAGAATCCTCAGAGGTGAGTGAAGCACCAAGCAATGAAGAAGCTTCAGATGATGAAGAAGGACATGAAGAAGCCTGCAATGTAGCAGAAATCAGAACTCTGAAAAAACTCTGACCTTGAGGGAAACTTGGTTATCAGTGCCTGAGCCCGAGAATGCTCAAATTTACAGACAGATCCTAGATTTCAAGAAAGACTGAGTGAGTGCTTTTGATGAAGATGAAATTAGCACTGTGGCTCCAGAAATTGAAGATGTATTCATTCTTAGTATGATTCCAAATCTTCTACAAGATGTGGCTGTCAATCTTGAAGATGTCATGAAAGTAAAAGGAGTCCTTGTGCCAGAAGATCCCAATTCTAATGAAGGTCAGAATAAAAAAGCTGTTTGTTTCCAAAAAGGTGGTGCAGCCAGTGCATTCCTGTGAAAACCAAGGCTCTGCCTGGCCCAGACATAGCCTACAAGTCCTTCCAAGAATCACTAAAGAATAAGACATGCTTTCTGCCCTCCACAAGGTTTTGTCACCTTCCAGCTCCAGCTCTGTTAACTCATTTGGGTGGTAGAGTTAACAAGGCTACTTGTATGGTGATGATCCTGGTGTTTAGAAGTTCACCCTTTCCCCTGTATCTGTGATGGTGTGGTCTATTTGTTTGAACATGGGGTTTCTACCTCACTCTTTATGATTCCTAGCCCAAACCTTATGGCAAAGTCCACATTCTCCTAGATTTAAAACTCTTTGTTCTACTGTTAGGATTAAGTTTTCTTACATGTTAGACGGGAGTGATTTTCTTGCTCTGCTCTTTTGATTCATATTATATTTAAAACTTAAAACTAGGTCTTAGTGTCTTGGGTGCAAAGTATGAAGTCTAGAAACATAAGAAGTTAACATTGTTACTATTTTCCAGGTTCCTCTGAGGAGCCCACTATGCCTCCTGGCACTGCCCATTCTCATGAAGACAAGGAAGGAGTGGGTAACTACCCCAATGCAGAGCAAGACCACCCATTGCTCCGTGTGCCCAGGGAGAAAGAGAAGAAGGGCAAATCTGGCATCCGCTTCTTTCGTTAGATGTTTTCTCTTCTATAAGGGGAAAAGGGTGGGGGTAGACCTGGAATGTCACAGGAAACACCAAGGAGTCATGAAGACAAAGAACTAAGGATAAAAAGTTCCCCCTGATGCTAGGGTCAGGAAGGAGTAGTTCAAATACACTGCCAGCCCCTTTACTGGGGATGTTTAGTATCTTCAGTTGGTAAAAGCAGAGATGTTTCTGTGTGATGCCCAGGCTCCCTGGTGCTACCTTGCCTTCTCTTTTACCCCTGATCCAGGCTTTCTCTCACTACAGCCCCTTCTTTTAATTGATGTTACATTTGTGATAAACATCTGTCCCAGAGAAGCTCACAAATCTCGAGGTGCTTTTCCTCCTCACAAGGGGATTGCATGTTTTTCCTGACTTTCCTACCCTCCTCCAGAGAGCTCACTGGAAAGGCCCTCAAGAGGCATGTTAGAACGTTAGGTCAGCCTACTGACAGCTGACAAACAATTAATGCTAAACTGTGTCACACCAACTCATAGCCGTGTCCCCGCAGCAACTCCACTGCCTCAGGATTTCTATCCCCCTCAAATTATTTAGAACAATGGCTTCTCAAACAGCCACTCCCAAAATTCTGTGCATTTTTGCTCAGGACACGTCAACAGGAAAACCTCAAGTGTAAGCCTGACTAGTTTTTCTGGGGTCAAAATTTAGGGGAAAAATTAGATTTCAGTCCTGGACCTGTTTTAAAGACAGCTGGTGTTCATACCCCTGTTGTCAGCAAAACAACTATTTAGGCACAGACACATAGTTCCACGTAGTTAAAATCACCTGAACACAAATGCTCTTATTGTCTCTGTATTTCCTCTATACATGATGGGACAAATTTGTGGGACTTGCTCTGGTAAAAACACAGATATGGGTTATGTATGACATCCAAATTACAACTGATATTTTTGGGTTACAACAGCTAAGGTCCTTAGAGTGAAGAATGTATTGTATTGAGGGATAGAAATTGATCACACAATGGGTAACAACCATAGAGCTCGAAGATTTGTGATTGTTAAAACTTCTCTGGCATTTCATCATTAATAAACATCTGTGTTGTGACAGCAGCATATTCATGGTGTAAAGTGTGCTTTTTTCACTTCTTAGAATTTGAGGGATGAGTTTTAGAAGCTCCAAGTGGAGATCTGAAGGGGAAAATGAGACAGAAAAGATGAATAAAGGGAAGGGGTTGATATGAAATGTAAAAGAAGAGATGACATGATATAAAAGAAAGAGGGGTTGTGGAATACAAAGGAAGAATGGATGATATGAGATAAAGAGGAGGGGTGATGGGGATTAAAGAAGAGGATGGCATGGTATAGAATGATAGGATAAAGAAGGTATGACATGAAATAAAGGGAGAGATGATGGTGGATGAAGAAGGAGGGAATGATATGGGGTAAGGGAAGAAAGGTGATGGGGAATAAAAAGGACATGGCAGAAGATAAAATGGAGAGATGAGGGTGAATAAAGGAGGGCGATGACAGGGGTCACAGGGAATAAAGAAGAGGGGATGGCATGGCATAATAGGGAATATTGATGGGTAATGAAGAGGAAGGGATAACACAGAAGAAGGGGAAGGGGTGATTGTGGATAAAGAAGAGTTGATGGCATGGGATAAAGGGGAAAGATAATGGTGGATAAAGAGGAGGGGTGGCATGGGATAAAGGGGATAGACAATAGTGGATAAAGAAGAGGAGCTGATATGGGGTAAACAGGAGGGATGATGGAGAATGAAAAAGAAGGGGTGGCATTGCATAAAGCAATAAAGAAGAAGAATGATATACCACAATATGGAAGGATGATGGGAAATAAAGAGCAAAGGATGACACGATATAAAGGGAGGGTGTGATTGTGGATAAAGTAGAAGGGTGGTATGGATTAAAGGGGATAGACTATAGTGGCTAAAGAAGAGGGGGTGTTATGGAGTTATAAGGTAGGACGATAGAAAATAAGATGAGAGGACATGGGGGAAAAGGGGTGATCAAGAATAAGGAAGAGAGGATGAAGGAAGAGAGGATGACATGGCATAAAAGGGAAGGATGATAGGTAATAAAGGGGAGGAGTTATTAGGATAAGTGGGGTGAATGTAGACAAAAAGGAGGCTATGATTTGGGATAAAAGGAAAAGATGGTGGGTACATGAATGACATGTATGGGGATGACACAGGAAAAGGAGTGATAGGACAAAATAAGGGTATAATATAGGATAAAGGTAATATTAATAGTGTGTGAAGAGGAGGAAATGATACAGGATAAGGGGGAAGCATGATGGAGAGAAAAAGGAAGATGGCATGGGAGAAAGGGTAATGATAATGGCGGATAGACAGGATGATATGGGATAAGGAGGAGGGAGTGATGGAGAATATAGTTAAGGGATGACAAAGGATAAAAAGGAAGGGTAGGTACTAGGGAATTAAGAGGAAAGTACGACATGAGATAAGGGGAGGAGTGAGGGGAAGAGGAGGGCATGATATAAGGAGAAGGGTAATAGAGTAAAAAAGGATGAGATAGCATGGAATAATAGGAAGGGATGATGTATAATAAAGAGGATGATATAAGTAAAATGGTAAGAGATAAAAGATATGAAGGTTGGAAGAAAAAGAATAAAAAGTGATAGAAGATAAAAAGGAAGGGGTAACACGAGTAAAAAAGAGATGAGAAAGAATGAAAGGAGAGGAGAGTGATTTTTGGATAGATAAAAAGAAATGGTATAGACTTCAGCGGGCCTCTATATTAAAGGTCCTCAACCAGTGGGTCGTGACCCCATTAGGGTTGGATATCTGATATTTACATTATGATTCAAATAATAACAAAAATTACAGTTAAGTAACAATAAGCCAGGCATGGTGGTACCAATGTCTTTAAATCCCATCATGATGGAGGCAGAGGCATGTTTTACAAAGTGAGTTCCAGGACAGCCAGGGCTACACAGAGAAACCATGTCTTAAAGAACCAAATAAAAAAAGTTGCAATGAAATAGTTTTATTTTCGGGGGTCACCACAATATGAGGAACTTATTAGAGAGTCACAGCATTAGGAAGGTTGAGAACCCCTGGCATAGAGAAATGAGATTGGGTTATATTCAATAAGTGGGAAAGTGGTATGGGTTGAATATAGGGATAGGACAACTTGTAATCAAGGAAAAAAATCACATAGGATAAAGAACAACAATGGCATAAAATAATAAGGGTGGGATGAAGTATAATGATAGGAAATAAAATAGGAAAAAGTGAATTCCTATGATTGAATAAAGAGACGTGAGTTAAAGCAAAATAAATGGTTAAAGAAAGGAAACCAAAGGGTAAATTAATGGGGAGAACCTATAGTTTTGGAAGCAGGAGGCATAAATGGGGAAATGGTAGATTTTCTCAGTTGAGACAGTTTCCTTGATTTTTGACAAATAAAAAAACTCAAAGAATTTGGAAAAAATATGACTTCCAGGTATAAGAATGATGTCAAACTAAAACTTGATTGACTACTAAATCCTTCTTGAAAGCTAAGGCATCAGGACACAATGAGAAATTTTGCATGTCAAAAGTAGGAGCCCCCAAAGTGGAATAGTGTTATTTATTTATTTAAATATTTTTGAGAATTTCATATAGGGTTAATGTCTATAAATATTCATTTCTCTCCATAGTCTCAATCCAATTACTTCCACACCTGTTGAACTCCTTTGCAAAACCATGACTTCTTTTTTTTTATTTATTTTTATTAATTACAGTTTATTCACTTTGTATCCCCCCATAAGGCTCTCCATCCTCCCCTCCTGGTCCCACCCTCCCTCCCCCATCTTCATACATGCCCCTCCCCAAGTGCACTGATAGAGGAGGTCCTCCTCTCTTTCCTTCTGATCTTAGTCTATCAGATCACAACAGATGGCTGCATTGTCATCTTCTGTGGGCTGGTAAGGAGGCTCTCCCCTAAGGGGGAAGTGATCAAAGAACAGGCCAATCAGATTATGTCAGAGGCAGTCCCTCTTCCCATCACTATGTAACCCACTTGGACACTAAGCTGCCATGGACTACCTCTGTGCAGGGGTCCTAGGTTATCTCCATACCTGGTACTTGGTTGAAGTATGAGTCTCTGGGAAGACCCCTGTGTTCAAACTGTCTGGTTCTGTTGCTCTCCTTGTGGAGTTCCTGTCCTCTCCAGATCTTACTATTTCCCACTTTTTACATAAGATTACATGCACACTGCCCAACAGTTGGCCATAAGTCTCAGCATCTGCTTTGATAGTCTGCAGGGTAGAGCCTTTCAGGGGCCCTCTGTGGCAGGTTTCTAGGTTGTTTTCTTCTGATGTCCGTCCTCCTTCCCTTTCAGGATGGGGATTGAGCATTTTAGTCAGGGTCCTCTCTCTTGATTAGTTTCTTTAGATGTACAGGTTTTAGTAGGTTTGTCCTATGTTATATATCTATATGAGTGAGTATACACAATGTGTCTTTCTGCTTCTGGGACAGCTCACTCAGGATAATCCTTTTCAGGTCCCACCATTAACCTGCAAATTTCATGATTTCCTTATTTTTCATTGCAGAGTAATACTCCATTGTGTAGATGTACCACAATTTCTGCATCTATTCTTGAGTTGAGGGGCATCTGGGCTGTTTCCAGCTTCTGGTTATTACAAATAAAGCTGCTACAAACATGGCTGAGCAAATGTCCTTATTGTGTACTTGAGCCCCTTTTGGAAATATGCCTAGGAGTGATATGGCTGGATCTTGAGGAAGCGCTACTCTTACCTAATTGTCTGAGAAAGTGCCAGATTGATTTCCAGAGTGGTTGTAAGAGTTAGCTTTCCCACCAGCAGTGGAGGAGGGTTCCCCTTTCTCCACAACCTCTCCAGCATGTGTTGTCACTTGAGGTTTTCATCTTGGCCATTCTGATTGGTGTAAGGTGAAATCTCAGGGTTGTTTTGATTTGCATTTCCCTAATGGCTAATGACACTGAGCATTTCTTTAAGTGTTTCTCTGCTATTTGATATTCCTCTACAGAGAGTTCTCTGTTTAGCTCTGTTCCCCGTTTTTTTATGCTGAACAATATTTTTTTTATTTTTTTTACTATTAATTACATTTTATTCATTTTGTATTCCCCATAAGCCCCTCCCTCCTCCCCTCCTTATCCTATCCTCCCTCCCCCTTCCTCATGCATGCCCCTCCCCAAGTCTACTGATAGGGGAGGTCCTCTTCTCTTTCCTTCTGATATTAGTCTATGAGATCACATCAGGAGTGGCTGCATTGCCATCTTCTGTGGCCTGGTAAGGCTGCTCCCCCCTCAGGGAGAGGTGATCAAAGAGCAGGCCAATCAGATTATGTCAGAGGCAGTCCCTCTTCCCATTACTATGGAACCCACTTGGACACTGAACTATCATGTGCTACATCTCTGCAGGTGTTCTAGGTTATCTCCATGCCTGGTAATTGGTTGGAGTATGAGTCTCTGGGAACTTCCCTGTGTTCAATTTTTCTGGTTCTGTTGCTCTCCTTCTGTTCCCCATATTTTAATTGGATTACTTGGTTTTCTGCTTTTCAGCTTCTTTAGTTCTTTATATATACTGGATATTAGCCCTCTGTCAGATAAAGGGTTAGTAAAGGATTCTTTCCCATTCTGTAGGCAGTCGTTTTGTTTTGATGATGGTGTCCTTTGCTTTACAGAAGCTTTTCAGTTTCATGAGGTTCCATTTATTGATTGATGATCTTAAAGCCTGTGCTGTTGTTGTTGTGTTCAGAAAGTTGTCTCCTGTTCCAATGAGTTCAGGGCCCTTCCCCACTTTTTCTTCTAACAGGTTTATTGTGTCTGGATTTATGTTGAGGTCTTTAATCCACTTGGAGTTCAGTTTTTTGCAGGCTGATAAATATGGATCTATTTTCATTTTTCTACATGTAGACATCCAGTCAGACCAGCGCCATTTGTTGAAAATGCTGTCTTTCCTCCATTGTATGGTTTTGGCATCTTTGTCAAAGATCAGGTGTCCATAAGTGTGTGGGTTTATTTCTGGGTCCTCTGTTTGATTCCATTGATCCACCATTCTGTTTCTATACTAGCATCATGCAGTTTTTATTACTCTTGCTCT